TAGTTCTACAGTATATCAAAATCTGTATATCAAAATCCTGTATATCAAAATCTGATATATTAAATAACTTATAAATATGACAGGATTGTATTTACCCTTAGAAAGAGGACTATTTTTAACTTTATAGAAAGTAAAATTAATATTTATTTTAATTTTCAGTATAACAAAACATGCAACTTATCAAGATGTTATCGTAAAGAACAGACGAGAATCTTTCAAACTAGTTTCACGATTGGAATAATAAGACACTTAATTTGGTAGCATAATTTAGATTTCAAACAAAATCTCAGTAATAGTAACAGTAAAAATCAAGGTCTCAGTTTGCAGCTGCGCGCCTTTAACAACTAAAGAGCATTCGAAAAATAAAAGAAAAAGAAAAACATTTTTACACCCCTCCCCCTTTTTGTAAAAAGGTATTCCATCGCTTTGCCAAATGTGTCTGACCAAACTGCCCCCCCCCCCAGATTTTCGTATCTGATCGCTCATATTAGCTGTCAAACGAATGGTTGGCAACCTTGTCGAATCCCCCTTTCGTCCTTGCTGCTTATTTTCTCGATTAGTATGCTTGTTCAATGGGCTGGAAGTTATTGTAGAAAGTGTTTCACGCATTTTAATTTTAGTGGTTGGTTTTTTTAACTTGCGGCGTAGTCAGCGATCCATCAAACAAACTGACTGTTCTTGAAAATTTGTTTTATAGATGAAGGATTTCTTTATTTTTTTTCAGTTTACGGTTAACAAGTTGGCCTCCGCCCATAGTTTAAGAAGATGCAGCCGAAACTTTTCAAGTGTAATGAATGTAACGGCGAGACGTCTATTAAGATCTTCATCAAATATTTTCATCTTTTTCTTAGTTTTATATATAAAACTGCATTACTAGATAGTAGTTTACTGACAGTAGCCATTTTCACGCTTCTTACTTTTATTTATAATCTTACATTTAACTTGGTAAATTCAGATGTGGCTTAAAAATGATGAGAACCAGTTAGCACTTCACAAAATTACCATTTAAAATAAAATGAACAAATTTTTCCTAATCGCGAGGGATTTCTTGTCACTTATTTTCCCAAAAAGAAAGTTTAGATCTAAAAGGTATTTTCTCCCTTTTTTCTGCATGCCTTCGTGGTGTAATGGTAGCACACTCGGCGTGTATTCTAGAGGTCCAGGTTCGAGACAGTCCCGGCGTAGGCACTGCTAACGACTCCTGCTTCCAAAAATTCTTAATAGCTGTACAGTGCCGCCCGAATTAAAAGGTGGTGGATGATGATTCTTCACCACCAGTATTTGACGATTGGGTCCTGTAATCCCCAGTCGCGCTTTAAAAGGGGTAATTGCTCCCTATTTTCCACATGGCTTCGTGGTGTAACGGTAGCACACTCGGCGAGCACTCGAGAGTCCTAGCGAGGACATTGCTCATTTTTCATGTTTCCTGCATTCGAAAACATCCTAATGTCTCTACAGATCCACTAAGTTTCCCATCTGACATATCCGGTCGTATAAAAAGTGTAAAAGAAATATTAAAAACAGGCTTTATTTAATAACTGACTGGTTTTCTTGAAATACACACAATGATATTTAAAGGGGAAGAGAGAGAGAGAGAGTGGAATAGCTATCAAAACCTTCAGTTCATAAATGTCAAAATAATTATTTTCTTTCACTCTTCTGTTGTTTTCCGTCGCGTATCGTATTTTGTAATTGATACAAGTTAAATAATACAATACAAAAGATATAATTTTCGGTTCATACGAGGGATATACAAATATGAACAAGAAAACTTATCGGGAAAACTTTATTTACGGAATACAATGAACCGGCTCATGCATTACTTTTCTACGCAGTTACCTGCCGCTGCTGTACACTTGTTTCAGCGTCCAGAAAGTTTCATAATTTTAGCAGAAGAAAAGTCTTCTTGACTGCATGTTGATGCATTCTTAGATGCATCGATCATTTACTCATTACACTTGAATTTCTTCCTTTTTTAGAATTCTTAATTTATGACGACCTTAAACTGATCTTTCCCACCACCAACACTTTACAGTTTCCTTAGGATTTCGTAGACAGTGGTTCTCCAATGTATTCGAATTAGCTCAACAATAGCAGTCAGTTTCTCTTCTTCGGTTATGTTTCTTGGCCAAAGCATATGTGGTTCATTTTCAAATCTCAGCCAAAGTTCTTTAAAAGACTTGCACCAAGCATACACTCGATAATGAGACAGACACTCATTTCTAAACTGATTTTTAAATCTCGAATAAATATGAGACAAAATGGCATCTTTATTAGTTAAAAATCTAATGACGATCTGCTGAAGAATACTGTTGTGAACGTTCTGCCCTCAGCATACTGATTGCATTTAACAGGGATGACGGAAGAAGACGTTAGCACTTCAAACTCAAATATATGTGTGTTTTCCCAATAAATCATGATCCCATTTAACTCTTTAGAAGAACATCGCATGAAAATTCCTGTTTATAACCTTCCCTGCCTGTAAGTTTGAAACTTTAAGTATCATAATTATGCTTTTTATTAAATGTTAAATGTCCCTTGAATTTTTCCGATTGTTAAATGTTCCTCATTTGAAACTCATGCTTTTGAGTTGAAATAATATCACCTCATAAAAGACTGCAATAGAAGATGCATTAACACACAAGGTGTCCAGGAAAAAAGTGATGAAAAAGAGCGACACATATATCCGAAATCAAGTGTTCATTGCATTGTGATTTACATAGATGGAAAGAAGAATGAATTTGAGTTTTAAATTGATAGGACCCCATGTGTGATATCAAAATACTTTTAAATTATTCCTTAAACCTATAAAGCATTTCTAAATCATATGAGATGTTAAGATTTGTTTATTAAAGCAAGTCATCAAAAATTTATTGAAAGTAGCATTTCATTTTTGTTCCCTCCTTTTTTTCTCCATTTTTTTAAAAATTAATGTACTCTCATGTAATTTTCATATCTACGTAACATAAAAAATTTTGATATAATACAAATTTATAATTAACAAAGCAATAAACATAATATGATAGATATAATCACTCAGACTCGTGTAAAATAACTGGGGGGGGGTAGAGATTAAATGACATTGAAGTTTAAACAAAGAAAGAGTAAAGATAGCAAACACAGGAAATAATACAAATTTTCACATAACAGGAGAAACATGACTTCCAGTCATTGCTATGGTTCACTGAAGTCTTTTCAATGCTATATGGAACTGCAACCATTTTAGTCATCATTTATTGCTCGTCTCGTATCAGATGAATTTTCATCTTCATGTCAAGCTGTCACAAAGTATACTTCTGATAGCCAAGAAATGAGATGTTTTCTGCAATGTTAGGGTTATATACCTAATTGTCAAGAAAAATGGATTAAAGTTACAGTGATAAAGAATCACTCACTTTTAACATTGCATCTTAATTCCCGTTTCCACTGTTCCTCTAAAGCATGGCCGAATTTACTCCTTCAAAGGAGTTTTACAGTTGTACACGACAAAGCAAACATAAATTAGTTTTAAAACGAAGGAGTTCAACATCTAAACATTTTTCTTTAAAATTAGGTAAAAATAAGGCAAATAATCCTCGAACAGAACTGTTTTAAAACAAGTTTTAGTTATATAAAAATCTTCTTTATCATATTTAATGAAAGTTTTGGTATAACATTTCATTGACTAATAACTTATGATTTAGAATGTTTGTTCGTATGTTGTTAAAGCTATTCATTCATTGGTACTTTCAGAATTAAAATGCCATTGGAATGGTATTCAGATACATTGATTAGTCATTTTATTAAAAATTTAGATACACTTTATCAGTAAAGCAGGAGCAATCACATGCCGAAGTGTTGATGGATATTATACCCATAAGTTTGAAAACCTCGCTCTAAACGGCATTCAAATTATTGGATAAATTAATTAAAGATTATGTATTCATAAAGATATTTCATGGGCGCCTAAATTGTAAAGAAAGAAAAGTCAGAAAATGACAGTTTTTGAGAATTCCATATTTATTTCAATTTTAGTGTTATACATTCTTTATATCTAACAAATTCAAAAGAAAAGCATTCCCAAATATGCTTCTTGTGATACAGCATATTGATTAAAGCTTGCTACCAGATTATTGTAACTTATTTTCATCATTTTGACATTTGAGAGTTGGTCTATCTTAGGCATTAACTACTTCCTATTGACAGACTAGAAACTGACACTTGATGATATTTGCAGAATACCAAATTTTGAAATTTCCTAAGCTTACGTTCGTTTAACTCACTCGAAAGGTAGAAATTTAAGAGAAATAATACATCAAAAAGAAACTCTGACATCTGGCATTATTGGTCATTGAAGAATTCTAAAACTAAAGGCGAAAAAATGTCGCGGACTATTGTCGAATGATTTATATATGTGTGGGAGGAATAAACCTGCCATACATTATATGAACAATTTTTATGACCATTAAACAATAAGTACAACATCACAAAATCCTGGTGTTTCAGAAAATCCACTTTCAAAACTTGCTAGTCTGAAAATGAAGGACTAGTTTCTTAGACTTTAATCAAATGGTTTCTCTGCTTAAAGCTCTCGCCATTTACGACTGGCTGTTAAAACATATTACATGGATATCTCTAACGAAAGATTATTCAATCTCACACAGAAACTAATTCAGATATGTTAACTCCAATTTTTCTTCGTTATAGTAAGGTTAACAATAATCAGTTTTAGTTTGTGTTCAAATCTGCAGATAGCATTATTTTTAAAATTTTTAACAGCGAACAGAGGCATGTAAAATGGTCATACGTGTTTGCTAGAAATGTGTTTGCTTTTAGATTGAATACCACCATGTCCAGAGTTCTAGAAGATATAACTTTTAGTACACTATCATTATGTTTCTTTTTTTTCACTACTCCCAAACAATGATTGTAACTTTCTTCAAAGTTCCCTCGTTTGTATACCTATTTATTATTCTCGTCTGTTTACATTTTATTATTAAATTATTAATTTTCTCTCTTACTTGTATCCGTCGAAACCATCAGAAGATCCATTTACGGTGAGGACCGGCGTTCTGGCGTAAGCTTTGGCCACTCTGCGGTTCCTTTCCATGCAGATTATTTTGGCCCAGATTTCGTCGTCTATCTGTTCCCATTTGTTCAGCACCTCTTGGATATGATCCTGGAGACGGAAAAGAAAGAAAATATAATAAAAACATGTTTCTTATACGTAGACACGACATGTATCTAGCATTTTTTAAATGATAGTAACCAATAAAATGAAAAGCAATTAAAGTATATCGTCGACATCAGTCTCAGACCGAGAACCTGCCTTTCTTACCATTTTGAACCTAAATGCATTTTCCATGTTTTATAGAGGTTGGGCAATAGGAATCTAATGATTATAAGGTTGAAAACAATACCATAAAATGCAACAAGTATTTATTTATGTTACAAACAATAGAATATGCTACAATGCCATTTATCATAACAGTGATATGCTTCTTTTCTGTTTTTTTTTTGAACAACATTTTTTTTTTTTTTTTTTTTTTTCCAGAGAACTTTGCTCTAGAACGGTGTCGTCGTAAACGTGATCCTGAGGGGCTATGGCTCAGAGAGCCCAAAAGTTGGTTTCAGCAAATGCGTCTGGATTAGTGCGATATCTGAGGTTCGAATGACGGTACATTCTTCAGACATTTCACTGCGCATCTAACTTTCTCTGCGGCTATCTGAAGTCTCACGTGAGCATTAATAAGCCTTGTACTTTAATAAACTCATTTCATAGCATCTAAGGAACAAAAGAAACTATACTAATCAACACGATTCAAAAGCGATGCTAAACTTTTATGACAGATTGGAAAAGTGCTGTATAAATAGTGAAAGATGTATGAAAAAATGCGTTATGCAAAGAATAAGAATCTGATCAGAGGAAATTTATTAGAGGAACTGTTATAATAAATGGCACTGCATAGCCTGAAAGAAATTTTCAAACTGAGTTTTATAATGCTGAGTTCAATCTTAAAATCCTTAGATTCCAATTCCATTTTCTCTTACTAAGGGAAAGAAATGTGTGTTCTTTAAGATAAATATAACAAAATCGTTGTGTAAAAGTAATACATCATTTTTCTAATAGTTTCAAACCTTCAAATTTATCTTTCTTAAAAGATGCATTCGATCGATTAATTAAACACTTATGCATTCATTTGGGTTATAGTATCAATTATGTAGATCTTGAGCTATTTTTACTTAAGTTCCTCCTGTAACCATATAGATAATAAGAAGATACAAGATGAAATACATATGATAATATTGGCTGCATTAAGATGATTGAATAACCTAAGCCTAACTAAGACGTGCTATAAGAAATAGTATAAAATGTTCTGAATGGAATAAATTAATTCTGTTAAAAATAAATTTGAATTAAAAAACTATAAAATAAAAATTAAAAATATCTAACTGCAACAAAATGAAGTTTAGAAGAGTATTTCATTAACTTAGATTACGATTCATATAACGTTATAGATCTAACTAACTAATCTCGTTTAAGAGATTAAGTCTGCTGAATTAAATTAAGATAAGTCTCACATATTAAACGCATTTTACACTTAGAAACATCTTAAATGTATTTCACATTTAGAAAAACATTTTCACAAATTTATAGGTTGTAGGAAAGATACACTAATTTTTTTCCTATACTCACCCATCCAAATTTCAAATTAAATTTATCAATTACGTTAAATTTATACTGAAATTTGATTAAAAGGTAGTTTTGAATAAACGTGCACTTATTAATATTGCTTATTATTTTAGAAATATTTAGAAACTGAGAAAATAGGTATGTATCGTTAATTTCTATGATATTAGTTAAAAAAAGAAGAATTTTAAAAATCTCAATTTAAAATGAAACTCTGTGAAATTTCTCGGAAATATTGTTTCAAGCGGAGTTTCAGCGCAGTTGCATTAATAAATTAAATGAAATAGAGTGAAAAAGATATGAAGCTACCAAACTGAATAATGGTAAACTGATAAACAGTCAATTTTTTTCTAATAAATTTTAGTCTGTTTAGCTTCACTTCTTGTAATCCATTTGGTTTGTTTCTATATTAAAAACTATATAGGGCGAATAATCAATGTGAAATGATGCACAATAACCTGTCTGAACATGCTTATGTAACCCGGAGCGTCGAAAATATTAATTCCCGTTTTCAGCATCTGTTGCGTGCAAAAGATAAAAAGATAGTGACAAATAAAGGTTTCGGTTACAGTTTTTTCTCGGTTCACCGATAGGACAATCGCACCGTTTAGGAAAAATAGGTTTCTCGGCCTAAGCTTAAAAATAAGTTAAAATTAACATTACATTGTTCCAATACTGCACGTTTGGTGAATTAAATGACCATTGGCAAAGTGATTGAACGTTGTCGCGTGACGCTTAACATATCAGTATTCGTGCGATGAAAAGGGCATTTCGTTTCGCGATACATGACTGATCCATATTTATTTATTCATTTTTTCATTCGAAATAATAAAAATTTAGTCGATTTCCCGGGAATGAAATCTGGCAACGAGGAAGTCGGTAGACGATCATCAGTACGATATAGTTGCCACTTGAGTTGATATGATCAGTGGACCGAAAATGGCGGCCTTCTACAAGATTTCTCAAGCGTCTCTATTCGATCACTTTATTTGCTTGTTTCGTATGTTTTGTTTCAAGTAAAAACTATTTTATAGATTGAAATTGTCCTGCTGTGGTGTGCATATCTAAAGAAGCTAGTTGAATGTGAATTGTAAAAGTGTAAAGTAAAATATTTCCGTGCTAAATTCTTTCTGTTTGATGCAGATATGTGTATGAAGTCAACTGTAGCTGATGTCAAAATTATTTTCTATAAAGATCATTTTTAGCTTTATTAGTTGAAAATTCTTTTACTCATATTTGCAACAGTATTTACGAGATGCACAGTAAAAAGAGATTTGAAAAAAAAAAAAAAAAAAAAATGCTTATTTAGAATAAATAATTCCTAATTAATATTAAAACGAATGATAAGATATTTTATAAAGCAACAACAGATTCGAAAAGAGATAAAAGAAATCGAATAACGGATGAAATTAGTATTATTTATTAGACTTGAAATGTAGAAAATATATATTTTCCTCTTCAAATTTAGTATTCATCAAGATCCTTATAAAAGCCTAATGAAATGCATTCACACTTTTTCGAATTAAAAATTCTTTGTTAAGTGTCGAATAATATTTTAGCGCTTAGATTTTAGCTTACGTACAGTGGCTCACATTTGGGTTCAGAACTTGTATCTTTGACATTTATTTCTGCACACTTTCTACCAAATATTGACAAATAAACTTAAAAGAAAAAAAAAATCCTTTTCCTAATATATTATTATTTTTCATATTTTAACTTTGCTCATTGCAAACGAAGTGTAATCAAAATATTCCGAGTAATGAAAAAAAAGTTCGAAAAGTGTTAATTAGTAATTAACATAATAATTCGGACACTCGAAATTTTTACTGAGATGTTTCGGAAAACGATGTATCTTATGATAATTTTTACTTTTTTTGTACGAAGTAAAGGAAGTATTGTAATACCGAAAAATTTTGGGTATCATATTTCATTGAAAGAACAAGTCCATTTTGACCGCTCTCGAATCCATTTCAACTTTTCTGCACGACATCTGTACGTAGGAACAGAATAAAGGACTTTTTTTTCTTCCAAAATGAATTGTAAAATGGATTTAAACTGGATTCAGAACAGATTTTTTTACCTGAGGCCTGCACACATCTACACATCTATGTATCTCGTATAACTCAAACACGATTAGCCTTAGAACGTTGAAATTTAATATATGGGACTGCTGTAACATCTAATAGTGCTCCACCCTTTCTTGTTGCAATTGGCCGTACCAAACATGTATATATATATATATATATATATATATGAGCTCTTCTTTCTTATTCTCATATGCTGGCAAATTGTGCATTTCTTTTTGCTTTAAAAGTGATTGAATTATGTTGTTCTTATGCTATCGTTAAGGTTTTTATGCCTTTTGCCAATCTGTATGTAATAATTGTAGAATTATCAACAGTTTAAAAGTGTGAATTTCGCTAGACCTAACTTGGCGGTTATTTGTTTACAGTTGAAACTTTTAGAAATGTAGTGAATTAAGTCAGCAGGTGCACCAACTTCAGTGTCTTTTTGCACAATGGACCAAAAGTTAACTTTTTATTTTTATACACCGAAAATTTTGTCTTTCTGCCCGTTTTCCCAGTTGCTTATAGTATACTTTTCTGTATTTTACAATTTTTTAAGTTCTTTTGATTTTTCATGTATTTTTGCCTTGCGCGAAGTGAGAACTGAATTGATTGAATAAGTCTTTAATGAAATTCGAGGAACTGAGATTAAATGAAGTGTAGAAAAAATGTGTATAATTTAATAGGCCATGTGGTGTCCACATCAGACCTTTTGCTTTAAACGAAACTGCATTGTAAAAATTATCATCTGCATTTGGAAATCATGACTTTTTCAGCAGAGCATATTATCAGTTTCATAACTGAAGTGAACATGGTAAGACGCTAAAAATTAATGATAAATTCTAATAGAAATTTAGAGTTTTTTTAATTTAAATTCGTTTTAAAGATGGCAAAAGTATCCGAAATATTCCAAATATTCTTAGTGTACAGCACTTAAAAATTTTTGATGTTCTTAAAAGGATGAAAAACTACATGAATTGTTCAAAACGCATTAAAAAAAAAAGGCATTTTTGGAGTATATTTCAAGATATCACGAAGGAATCGAAGATTTATGCTACGAAAAATCAAACAAAACCCAAAAATGTATGCTGTTAAACTTGCAAGAGATTTAGAAGAACAGTTTGCAATGAAAGCTAACCCTGAAACTACTAGAAGAGTCATTACAGCAGATGCATACAATAGGCAATAAGCAAGGAGAAAATTCTTCCTCGACAATAAAACTAGGAAATTACTCCTGGGGTTCGCAGAATCTACGGTAAACAAATATTTATCTTATTGGAACAATGTTACCTTTGCAAGCGATTCAAAATTTAATATATTTGCGTCCGATAGACGAAATAATATGAGAAGAAACTCGAATGAGGGAAAATCTATTGCCTATTGTTAAGCACTAGGAATAGAGACTTAATGGTTTGGGGATGT